TGACATATTTTTAGAATGTTTTAAGTTGAAGTGAAACAGTACTATTTTCTAGCCGCTCTTTCATGTCGTTGTGAGGCAGCTATGATGTTATGTTAATAAAGGTCAGGCTGCATGGTTCAGCTTGGCATGGCTCCCAGTGGTGTGTGGGAAGTTGCCCTTTTCATGTTGCTGTCAAAAAAAGTGAAAAGACACAATAAAAAGATGTGGCTTTCTCAAAATTAAAAATGGATTATCGCTGTTGTAAATTATCACCCTTTTTCTGTTAGTTTCTGTCGGCTGTCACGCACGGTGTCACCTGTCCACAAAACCCCTTGGAAGGCCTCCATTATGAAAGCAACTTTACACCTGTAGGGAAATAAAGCCTTAAGTAATCATGTTTGAATCCTCTTCAAGCCTGATTTTTTTTCCTGGTTTTGTTTTTGCAGCTGCCTTAGTACCTTTCAAAACAAGTCTTACTGTGATAATCTTTCATGTAGTATACAGTTTGTTGTGCTGCTCCAGTTTGAAAGTGATATAATTTATATATTGCCAAAAATATGTAGGTTGATCTCTTGCTAAAATTGTCACATAGGTGGAGTAATTTCTCCCATCAGCGCACGCATTAACAAAACAAAAGTTACACACAGTCAATATAAGTGTACATGTAAGAGGAATTTCATGCAACCAGGAAGGCAAAGTTAAAGGTTAAAGTCAGCGACGATAACTACATGCACACATGTACCACTGCTTAGTATTCTGACCAATTGACATTAGAATTTGGGTTTGTAAAGGCAGTGTCCAGTTCCTACCAGAGAAATAGATTTTATTTGCCATTGTACTTACCTTCTCAGATTTGGTCATTTCACTTTGTTCTGTTTTGTTTTGTTTTGGACATACAAATTTACATTTTGGCATGAAGAGTCATTGCTCTGCAGATTAAACCTTCTGTCTCTAAGTTTACATTATTCTTGCCTTTGTCTTCATGGAGGCTTATACTGGGGTATTCATGTGATGCGTGATTACATGTAGCCTATTGTATTTTTCGTGAAACGTGAATTTAGGAAATTGTTCTTTGTGATCCTTGACCTGAAGGTTTTCGTGACCCATGAAGAACTTGAATTATTGACCGATATTTATGATTTCACCACTCTGTTCTACGTGATTTTGAGAGACTAGTTCTCCAAATGGTTGGAGTCATCTATCGAGAACTCGTGAACATGCGATTTGCAATATGGAGCCTTGACTTAGCCTTTCATGATTTTGCTTTTTCAAACACTCTTTCTAGGATAAGAACAGGTTATTAAAAAGAGTATCTTGCTTCCTTATTTTTGAGACTTTGGAAAATAATTTTTTTTTATCTGTGTGTGATCCTCTATTTTTTCCCATTTGTGAACCGTGCTATGTGCTCCCCCTCCCCATTTCTGTTTCTCTCTAGTGACATAAGTATCACATGTGGTTTGAGCTGTTGTTGTTTTTTTTTGAAAAACACCAGTTTGAGTTTTATTTTCTCACCACAATCTGAAGCAGGGGACATGCATCTGAACATTTTGATACCAAGAACAGAGTTGCTAAAAGCAGCCATCTGCCAGCAATAATCACCGTCTACTTTATGATCACTTCTGGCCCAATCCTCCGCCCAGGGGCAAGGAACTGACAACTTTATGATCGCAGCTAACTACTTTGTTGGGCTATCCCNTTTTTTTTCTGAAAAACACCAGTTTGAGTTTTATTTTCTCACCACAATCTGATGCAGGGGACATGCATCTGAACATTTTGAGACCAAGAACAGAGTTGCTAAAATCAGCCATCTGCCAGCAATAATCACCGTCTACTTTATGATCACTTCTGGCCCAATCCTCCGCCCAGGGGCAAGGAACTGACAACTTTATGATCGCAGCTAACTACTTTGTTGGGCTATCCCTGTGATTCGTTAGGAAAAAAAGATGGTGAAATCAGTCATCTAAAAGCTGCCTACTGCAAAACGTTGCAACAAACCTGCAAAAACAGATTTAAACAACCAATGAAAATAAACATGGCACAACCCAGCTGACAACTTTTTTCTTGTTTTCTTGCTGTCATATTAGAATGATGATGATGAGACAGTAACATTTGAAGAGGCTACCAACTTTCTGCAAGGTGCAGGCCTTATAAAGTCTAAAGACATCAGGTACCTTCAAGAAGGTGAAAGAGAAGACATTATAAGAGAGAGTAGTGATCAGCCTCTATCGGAGAAGGAACAGAGGCAAAAGATCAAAGAAATGGCAGTGAAAGAGGCTTCTAACATCCAGACCCTATACAAGTCATCTCGACTGGGTATCAAAGAAGTTGAAAGCCAAATGAGTGAGGAGGAACTGGATCAAGAAAGAGAGTGAGTAAAAGGTTCTTTTAATGTATTTCAATAACTCGTAAACTCTGAAATTCAGAATCCAGATCATGATGGTATTTTACACTACCATCAATCCTGATTATGATAACAACAAAATACATCCTTGGAAGAAAGTTAACAGAATGGATCAAAATTGAGTACAACCCACCCGTGTGCTCTTTTGCACCTGCAGAACTAGTTTTAGACTTCTTCGTATCCTGAGATGTCAGGATAGCATGTTGAGAATACATGTATATTGTTTTTGATAGCAGTAGATTCTACCTGTACCTGGCATACTTATAATAATAAAATGGGTCATTGTGCAATTTAGGGTTAGGGTTAGTGAAAGACACCTCATTTGTTGTTTCTGCTCTCATTGAAGGATGCAGAGGAAACAGCTTGAGGAAATTTTCAAGCTTCTGGAGACTGATAAGGACAAGTATGGTGTAACAACAATGGATGATCTTCAAGCCCAAATGAAGTTATATACAAGATAGTATTATTAAAACTACTGTTAAACTGAAGCCAAAAGGCTGGTTGCATTAGCTGCCAATGGATATAATTATTATGGCTCTTTCTTGTAGCTATTCACCACCAGTAAATATACAGTCACCAGCCAAGCAGAACTTATCTTCTGACTGACGACTTTTTGTTTTCTGTTTTGGACCAAACTTGAAGAAAAGATTAATTTAAGATTAATTTAAAATTCCCAACTCTAAAGTGAGTTGGGAATGTAAACCAACACGTGTACTGAAAATGTAAAGTGATTTAAGCCTTCATTTGGTACTTCTTCCTTTTATACTTTTTTTACTAAAATGCAAAATGTGACTTCTTAGCCACAGTTGAAGATGTTGCATTTCATTTGAAAATTGGTAATTTTAACATTAATATTTGTAATATTTTTTAAATTTAATAGTTGTCTTATTTATTTAACTTACTACCACATGTTAATACAGGTGATGGTCTAACATAGATAATATTTAAGACTGTACATAAAATTTGCATCTTGAAAAAAGTATGATGCCACGGCTTCTTCTACATTTCAGTAATATATATATTTAGATACTTGCATTTATGCATAATCTGATGCAAATGCATCACTGGGAGAGGTTTAACATTTTTTTGATCCCAAGCTGCTTGTAAAACAGTTTTTACTCATGTTATATTTGAGTTGGAATGTATAATTTATCTTAACAGTACTGCCCAAAGGTAACGTGGGAGCCTTTGAATCACAAAAGATAAAGGACAAGAGAGAGGAGAAACACAAGGCAACAACTTGATAACAAAGGCAAAATGCAATGATGAATAACACATTTCAAAGGGTTTAGGCAAAAATGCACCAACCCGTTGGGGAGTTTAAAACATGTTTGATAGTTTTGCTTATCTGCGAGTGGTACTGTACTGTTACAAATTAACTCTTAATGATGGCTTCTTTATTATGTAACACTTGTTCCATTGCTAAAAGATGTACATAATAGTTACCATCACCTTGATGGTAGACTGTTCACAGCCTTCAATTTTCTTGTATTTTTGTTTTTTTTGTTTTTTTTGTTCATTGAGTGTGTGCATAGAATCACAAGAGAACTGAACGCCAGCCCAAAACAGGAGACTCGACGGGGTAGGGGTTGGGGACTGCGATTGCGCTCACAATTTCCTTCGCGTGCTATGAAAAATAGAGAGACAGTGAACAGTCTACCTTGATTCTCTTTTTGACATCATTCTGTTAGTTACCTAGAATTCCCAACCAATAGAAGAACCAACAATAACAACAAAAGCATGATCTACAACATTTTTAACTCTTCTGTACCCAGTCTAGTTTTTTATCAGCCATGCAGAATAAGCATGAGTATGTCAAAAGGAACAAATATTTATTGTTGATTTATTAAATTAAATGCAACTTACCTCAGTGTTATATGTTTGGCAATGTTGGGTTAATAATGGTGATAGGACTGAGGTGAGTCCAATTCAGACTGTTACCAGACCCATCAGAAGCTGTGTCTACTGTCCTGATATCCTGTGACATCAAGTCACTGACCTGACGTGGCCTCGGTATCATGCTCACTTGGCTGTATTTGGGTATGGTAAATACCTAATTATACCTTTTTGATATGTTTCAGTGGCATTTCAGGTTTGTTTGGTCTCACCATGGGTATTTTGGCTCAACGATGTCTTGCCAAAATACGAACCATGGCTCAACCAAACTGGCCTGACATGCCGCCAAAGCATAGCAAAAAGATATGATTACGTATAATAGCTATACAAAGTCATTTGATGAACACAATTGGACAACCTCACAACAGAAGTCCAAATTGTTAATATTGAGTATAATGAAATGCAGTTTTGGATGACCCATAGGTCTATTACAAATTGGTTTGTAAGCAATATTCTAGAACTTTGGCATACCAATTAACTTTTGAATGCTGAACTTGTGAAATGATTTGAAAAAAGTAGATTTGAATTACATAAATTTACGTTTGATACGTGATGTTCATAATATTGTTGACATCATTAAAAATACAAACTTTTCGATCTTTTAAGTCTGTATTTCGCTCGGCATTTATTGTTTCCTTTGTTTATTATTAGATAGAGATTTTACTTGATATCAACTCCTTTCCTCAATCATATTGATCTAACCAATGTGGTTTTGTTACCTCTTAGGGCGTTTGGCCTCAAAAGGTCCCCAGCAGGAGCTTTTGTAGTACCTTTTAGGGTATTGACCCAAAATAAATATGACAGGAGATATTTGAAAATCAACTGATTTTTAATTTTCTCTCAGAATTGGTACCTCTTAGAGGTTGAAATACATTTCAAGTCACGCCCACAAAACGGGATCTTGGTACCTCTTAAGGGGTTCTTTTCAAAACTTCCGACAAACACCCCCGTCCGTTGTTAAGCTACCCCACATTACTTCCACAGTTGAATGCCTAATATGATCCTAAAGTGGGTCATTTGAGAACCAGTTTTAGCTTGGATGAGGGGAATTTGATCAACCGAAGAGCCCCCAAAAGCACAGTAAAAGTAGACAAAAATAATGCACAGGGAATATTGGCAAATAAGTATTTGTTAAAGTAATAAATGCATCCCAAATTGTTATTTCTATAGATTTTCACATCAACATTGTTTTAAGGCAAAATGAAAAATGGGTGTCCTGTACATTTATGATCATTTGGGTCAAAGGAGTACTATTCTCTGAGTTGTTTAAAATTTGGAGAGAGACTTTTCCGTGTAAAAATTATGAGGTTTCTTCTTGGAAATTTGAAAAGAACCCCTGAAAAGTATTAAGGTATCTGAATCTTGATTTTGTGGGCATGACTTCCACTGTAAATTCATTTTTACCCTTAAAAGTGAACATTGTTTTTGNCTCACAACAGAAGTCCAAATTGTTAATATTGAGTATAATGAAATGCAGTTTTGGATGACCCATAGGTCTATTACAAATTGGTTTGTAAGCAATATTCTAGAACTTTGGCATACTAATTAACTTTTGAATGCTGAACTTATGAAATGATTTGAAAAAAGTAGATTTGAATTACATAAATTTATGTTTGATACGTGATGTTCATAATATTGTTGACATCATTAAAAATACAAACTTTTAGATCTTTTAAGTCTGTATTTCGCTCAGCATTTATTGTTTCCTTTGTTTATTATTAAATAGAGATTTTACTTGATATCAACTCCTTTCCTCAATCATATTGATCTACCCAATGCGGTTTTGTTACCTCTTAGGGCATTTGGCCTCAAAAGGTCCCCAGTAGGAGCTTTTGTAGTACCTTTCAGGGTATTGACCCAAAATATGACAGGAGATATTTGAAAATCAACTGATTATTAATTTTCTCTCAGAATCGTTACCTCTTAGGGGTTGAAATAAATTTCAAGTCATGCCCACAAAACAGGATCTTGGTACCTCTTAGGGGGTTCTTTTCAAAACTTCCGACAAGCACCCCCGTCCGTTGTTAAGCTACCCCACATTACTTCCACAGTTGAATGCCTAATATGATCCTAAAGTGGGTCATTTGAGAACCAGTTTTAGCTTGGATGAGGGGAATTTGATCAACCGAAGAGCCCCCAAAAGCACAGTAAAAGTAGACAAAAATAATGCACAGGGAATATTGGCAAATAAGTATTTGTTAAAGTAATAAATGCATCCCAAATTGTTATTTCTATAGATTTTCACATCAACATTGTTTTAAGGCAAAATGAAAAATGGGTGTCCTGTACATTTATGATCATTTGGGTCAAAGGAGTACTATTCTCTGAGTTGTTTAAAATTTGGAGAGAGACTTTTCCGTGTAAAAATTATGAGGTTTCTTCTTGGAAATTTGAAAAGAACCCCTGAAAAGTATTAAGGTATCTGAATCTTGATTTTGTGGGCATGACTTCCACTGTAAATTCATTTTTACCCTTAAAAGTGAACATTGTTTTTGNTTGTTCTGTTTTGTTTTGTTTTGGACATACAAATTTACATTTTGGCATGAAGAGTCATTGCTCTGCAGATTAAACCTTCTGTCTCTAAGTTTACATTATTCTTGCCTTTGTCTTCATGGAGGCTCATACTGGGGTATTCTTGTGCTATGTGCCCCCCCTCCCCATTTCTGTTTCTCTCTAGTGACATAAGTATCACATGTGGTTTGAGCTGTTGTTTTTTTTTTTCTGAAAAACACCAGTTTGAGTTTTATTTTCTCACCACAATCTGATGCAGGGGACATGCATCTGAACATTTTGAGACCAAGAACAGAGTTGCTAAAATCAGCCATCTGCCAGCAATAATCACCGTCTACTTTATGATCACTTCTGGCCCAATCCTCCGCCCAGGGGCAAGGAACTGACAACTTTATGATCGCAGCTAACTACTTTGTTGGGCTATCCCTGTGATTCGTTAGGAAAAAAAGATGGTGAAATCAGTCATCTAAAAGCTGCCTACTGCAAAACGTTGCAACAAACCTGCAAAAACAGATTTAAACAACCAATGAAAATAAACATGGCACAACCCAGCTGACAACTTTTTTCTTGTTTTCTTGCTGTCATATTAGAATGATGATGATGAGACAGTAACATTTGAAGAGGCTACCAACTTTCTGCAAGGTGCAGGCCTTATAAAGTCTAAAGACATCAGGTACCTTCAAGAAGGTGAAAGAGAAGACATTATAAGAGAGAGTAGTGATCAGCCTCTATCGGAGAAGGAACAGAGGCAAAAGATCAAAGAAATGGCAGTGAAAGAGGCTTCTAACATCCAGACCCTATACAAGTCATCTCGACTGGGTATCAAAGAAGTTGAAAGCCAAATGAGTGAGGAGGAACTGGATCAAGAAAGAGAGTGAGTAAAAGGTTCTTTTAATGTATTTCAATAACTCGTAAACTCTGAAATTCAGAATCCAGATCATGATGGTATTTTACACTACCATCAATCCTGATTATGATAACAACAAAATACATCCTTGGAAGAAAGTTAACAGAATGGATCAAAATTGAGTACAACCCACCCGTGTGCTCTTTTGCACCTGCAGAACTAGTTTTAGACTTCTTCGTATCCTGAGATGTCAGGATAGCATGTTGAGAATACATGTATATTGTTTTTGATAGCAGTAGATTCTACCTGTACCTGGCATACTTATAATAATAAAATGGGTCATTGTGCAATTTAGGGTTAGGGTTAGTGAAAGACACCTCATTTGTTGTTTCTGCTCTCATTGAAGGATGCAGAGGAAACAGCTTGAGGAAATTTTCAAGCTTCTGGAGACTGATAAGGACAAGTATGGTGTAACAACAATGGATGATCTTCAAGCCCAAATGAAGTTATATACAAGATAGTATTATTAAAACTACTGTTAAACTGAAGCCAAAAGGCTGGTTGCATTAGCTGCCAATGGATATAATTATTATGGCTCTTTCTTGTAGCTATTCACCACCAGTAAATATACAGTCACCAGCCAAGCAGAACTTATCTTCTGACTGACGACTTTTTGTTTTCTGTTTTGGACCAAACTTGAAGAAAAGATTAATTTAAGATTAATTTAAAATTCCCAACTCTAAAGTGAGTTGGGAATGTAAACCAACACGTGTACTGAAAATGTAAAGTGATTTAAGCCTTCATTTGGTACTTCTTCCTTTTATACTTTTTTTACTAAAATGCAAAATGTGACTTCTTAGCCACAGTTGAAGATGTTGCATTTCATTTGAAAATTGGTAATTTTAACATTAATATTTGTAATATTTTTTAAATTTAATAGTTGTCTTATTTATTTAACTTACTACCACATGTTAATACAGGTGATGGTCTAACATAGATAATATTTAAGACTGTACATAAAATTTGCATCTTGAAAAAAGTATGATGCCACGGCTTCTTCTACATTTCAGTAATATATATATTTAGATACTTGCATTTATGCATAATCTGATGCAAATGCATCACTGGGAGAGGTTTAACATTTTTTTGATCCCAAGCTGCTTGTAAAACAGTTTTTACTCATGTTATATTTGAGTTGGAATGTATAATTTATCTTAACAGTACTGCCCAAAGGTAACGTGGGAGCCTTTGAATCACAAAAGATAAAGGACAAGAGAGAGGAGAAACACAAGGCAACAACTTGATAACAAAGGCAAAATGCAATGATGAATAACACATTTCAAAGGGTTTAGGCAAAAATGCACCAACCCGTTGGGGAGTTTAAAACATGTTTGATAGTTTTGCTTATCTGCGAGTGGTACTGTACTGTTACAAATTAACTCTTAATGATGGCTTCTTTATTATGTAACACTTGTTCCATTGCTAAAAGATGTACATAATAGTTACCATCACCTTGATGGTAGACTGTTCACAGCCTTCAATTTTCTTGTATTTTTGTTTTTTTTGTTTTTTTTGTTCATTGAGTGTGTGCATAGAATCACAAGAGAACTGAACGCCAGCCCAAAACAGGAGACTCGACGGGGTAGGGGTTGGGGACTGCGATTGCGCTCACAATTTCCTTCGCGTGCTATGAAAAATAGAGAGACAGTGAACAGTCTACCTTGATTCTCTTTTTGACATCATTCTGTTAGTTACCTAGAATTCCCAACCAATAGAAGAACCAACAATAACAACAAAAGCATGATCTACAACATTTTTAACTCTTCTGTACCCAGTCTAGTTTTTTATCAGCCATGCAGAATAAGCATGAGTATGTCAAAAGGAACAAATATTTATTGTTGATTTATTAAATTAAATGCAACTTACCTCAGTGTTATATGTTTGGCAATGTTGGGTTAATAATGGTGATAGGACTGAGGTGAGTCCAATTCAGACTGTTACCAGACCCATCAGAAGCTGTGTCTACTGTCCTGATATCCTGTGACATCAAGTCACTGACCTGACGTGGCCTCGGTATCATGCTCACTTGGCTGTATTTGGGTATGGTAAATACCTAATTATACCTTTTTGATATGTTTCAGTGGCATTTCAGGTTTGTTTGGTCTCACCATGGGTATTTTGGCTCAACGATGTCTTGCCAAAATACGAACCATGGCTCAACCAAACTGGCCTGACATGCCGCCAAAGCATAGCAAAAAGATATGATTACGTATAATAGCTATACAAAGTCATTTGATGAACACAATTGGACAACCTCACAACAGAAGTCCAAATTGTTAATATTGAGTATAATGAAATGCAGTTTTGGATGACCCATAGGTCTATTACAAATTGGTTTGTAAGCAATATTCTAGAACTTTGGCATACCAATTAACTTTTGAATGCTGAACTTGTGAAATGATTTGAAAAAAGTAGATTTGAATTACATAAATTTACGTTTGATACGTGATGTTCATAATATTGTTGACATCATTAAAAATACAAACTTTTCGATCTTTTAAGTCTGTATTTCGCTCGGCATTTATTGTTTCCTTTGTTTATTATTAGATAGAGATTTTACTTGATATCAACTCCTTTCCTCAATCATATTGATCTAACCAATGTGGTTTTGTTACCTCTTAGGGCGTTTGGCCTCAAAAGGTCCCCAGCAGGAGCTTTTGTAGTACCTTTTAGGGTATTGACCCAAAATAAATATGACAGGAGATATTTGAAAATCAACTGATTTTTAATTTTCTCTCAGAATTGGTACCTCTTAGAGGTTGAAATACATTTCAAGTCACGCCCACAAAACGGGATCTTGGTACCTCTTAAGGGGTTCTTTTCAAAACTTCCGACAAACACCCCCGTCCGTTGTTAAGCTACCCCACATTACTTCCACAGTTGAATGCCTAATATGATCCTAAAGTGGGTCATTTGAGAACCAGTTTTAGCTTGGATGAGGGGAATTTGATCAACCGAAGAGCCCCCAAAAGCACAGTAAAAGTAGACAAAAATAATGCACAGGGAATATTGGCAAATAAGTATTTGTTAAAGTAATAAATGCATCCCAAATTGTTATTTCTATAGATTTTCACATCAACATTGTTTTAAGGCAAAATGAAAAATGGGTGTCCTGTACATTTATGATCATTTGGGTCAAAGGAGTACTATTCTCTGAGTTGTTTAAAATTTGGAGAGAGACTTTTCCGTGTAAAAATTATGAGGTTTCTTCTTGGAAATTTGAAAAGAACCCCTGAAAAGTATTAAGGTATCTGAATCTTGATTTTGTGGGCATGACTTCCACTGTAAATTCATTTTTACCCTTAAAAGTGAACATTGTTTTTGCTCAGTGCAAATGTTACCAGAATGACTCTAAGGGCAGTCAGATTTTAGCACCTGTTGTAGTCAGCAATCATGAAGGTATGACAAGCACCTCGTAATTTTTGTTTGGCTTTCCCACAGGACAAAAAGAAGCCCTGGATAATGTCCACATGAATGTGTTTGTCTCATTTTAGCTTTCATTTGTTGAGACCAATAGAATAAGGCTTTCTGAAAGAATTTTATGGTAAATATAATATATATACATACATATTTCTATTTCCTATGACGAGCTTTTTGTACTGAAAATCCTAGAAAGATTCCTCTAATAGAACACCTATCAAACTTTTACATAGTGCGGATAGCATCGACAAATATTCCGAGTCCTATAGGGCAACTACCCTCCCCTGCCCCCCAAGTTGACGCTGCCACCACCCACCGCCACGCCCTCTGGCTACAGCCAGTGGCCCATACTGTAATCCTCGTTTTCAAATTCCAGATTTTTTGACATTTACTTCGCTATTTCGCGAGTTCCAATATTCCATGTTTTTATTCTTGTTTCCTTCTCCCTTTATTACTTCCTGTAGCCCAAATCCACGCGTTTGTCTCTAACTTTATACTATCCATGGTTACGTACGCTTATATCCTAGTGACGTCAGTGTACGCATGCTCTATATTTGTTTTTCGGCATTCATGACCGATGACATGTTAAAGTGATGCGAAAAATAAGTTGGAAGAAATTTTCAAGACTTTATGGTGCGAAATACCTGAGTTAACATTGTCAGCATTAGCTAGATCTTGATGTGAGATAAGGAACTGTGCTCAGTGAATTTATCCGTGAGCAGCTCCGGCAGAAATGTTTCATAATCGTTCAGCGAGCCTTGGTGAACTGCACGGAGGTCAAGGTGCTCACGAGACAATTGATGGGGAGGAGGCGACTTTGGAGCGGTCCAAGAGCTCAAGACATTTAACGAAGAAAAAGAGCTTCAAGTTCGGCTCCAGAGATTTTGTCGGAGGAAGGAAATTGGTGAGGAGACCTTCTATGAAGTCTGTATCGAACATGGTTCAAAAACTTATGATTCGTATGTCTGCTGTGCAATTTCCTTCGAATTCTGCATACTCGACGAGTTCGATCGGAAAATTGGACGAGAATGCGTCGTACAAGAAGAAGAATTTCGATGCGGCGGAGGAAACTGCTTCGAAGATTCGGAGAAGTAAGTCTGCTGAGGTACTAAATGTGTCTGGTTTGAAAAATCATGGCAACACTTGTTTTATGAACGCGACTATCCAGTGCCTCGCTCATACTGATTTATTGGCCGAGTACTTCGTTATGGATCAGTATAAAGAAGATTTAAAACTTCGCAAAGGGCAAATCAAGAAGTTTGGAACTCGCGGTGAAGTGACGGAGAAACTAGCGTTGTTACTCAAGAGTTTGTGGTCAAGTCAGTATAATTCGCAAATTAGTAGCGATTTCAAGTCGATCGTTGGAAAATATGGAGTTCAGTACCGAGGTTATGCACAACACGATGCTCAGGAGTTTTTGCTTTGGCTCTTGGACAAAGTTCACGAAGATCTGAATCGAGCAACCAAGCGAAAGTACAAAGCTAACAAGGTGAGAAGCAATCAAAAAACCTAGGTCTATTTTTACGAGTGAATTACGAGTGTCGATCAAATTACCTGCCAAGTGTCATGCAATGAATTTTCATTTCCAGTGACGTTTTGTTCACGATAGTTGGCTAAACAACTTCGTGTTTTTCTTTTTAATAGTACCGTGTTTTCACAATTTGTGTGAGATTTATTGATTTGAGCCTGTGGTCAGATAACATCTCCATGTTTTGGCTTTTTACCAATAGTTAGGATAAGATGTACAGTACTATTTTGTAATTCTAACCCGGGCATTAATGCCCGACATCGCGTGTCCAATATTAAGACGATCCCGAAGCAGATAGCGAATAGGAAATATTTCTTGCAAGAAATCTGAGATATTTGCTGTTGTGAATTTAAATATGTTTTGTTAAAGAGACGAGCATTTGATATCGTTTACTTTGAACGTGTAAAACATTGTTAGTCCACTACTAGTAAGCTTACTTTCTGATCTAACTAAATTTTAAGCGTTACGAAATTTTGAGGCTAGAAAAATCAAAGTTGGGGGATGTTTCTGTCTAAAATAGCTCTCTTCCCTTTGACCCTTTGACAAGAAAATTTCAAGTTGTTGGTCTGCCTTCCGTAACAAAACAGCGGAAGCACAAAGAATTTAAAATATGTCTTTTCATTGATCCACTTTGGATTTCACATGGATGGTGTTTGAACTTAGAATAATATTCACGGTCGTGTATTTCGTTTGTGCACCCCATGCTGAGTTATAAAATAATGGGCAACAGCTTGAATGAAACAAAATGGTCCACTCTGGTCTGTGTGATTAGATTTATCAATGTTCGTTTCCATTGTCGAAGAATTATATCATTAGCACTGCTTAAGGATGTGAAATTATCGGCGTTTTGTCATCGACGAACATGATTTTCATGAAGTTATTTTTAGCTGTGTCTTTGAGGAAAAATAGTAGTATCTCTGGTGTGTGGATAATTGTATGGAGTTGTTTTTCAATATCTGTCAAATATCGACCTCTCTAGAATGATCTCAAAATGAACAGTGTATTGTTAGATTACCTAACTTGATTTACATGCATGATACTGAATGTAGTTTACAGTTGTTTGTTTGCATGTTCAATGGGGCTTGATTTCTCCAGCTTCTATTTTGAATTCAAGCATCTGATAATTTGCATTGTGTTCCTTTCCCTAATTTGTTTCTTTTTCTCTTTTTTATTTCACATTTAGAACATGATTGTTCACATAAATTATATACCCTGTAAATGACAAAAGTTTCATTCACTTTCAGTTGATATTAATACAACTTGACTAAAGACGCATAATTCTAAGGCTGGAACTGCACCGCATATCCATATACCATTTCACGGTTTCTGACGCCACCTTATTTGGAGGGGGGAGGGGGGGGGGAGCAAACACTGCAAAAGTTACAGTAAATCTATGGGGAAAAACTTGAGTTCTAAACTATTTGTGAATTAAAACTAAAGATACTTATTAAAAGAATTTACTGATTGCATTTGAGGGAAAAAGCCTCGCTAGAAAAGCCACAATTGAGGTTTTCATTTTTGCATACCTTTGACTGTAAAACTGAGTCGTGATTAGCAGGAAAATCTGGAGACATTTGTGTGAAAAACTGAAAGTGCAATTCCTTGCCTCACGGCAAATCTACATGTACATTCTGTAAATTTGACCAAAAAAAAAAACCTCAAAATACTCAGAAAGTCAATCACTTTCAACTTGTTGGGCATCAAACTTTTAACTTTTCTCATAAATTTACTGCAATTTTCGCTGTCTGCTTCCCAAGCAAGATGGTGCCAGAAACCATGAAAAGGTCTATTTTCCTTGGTACTTTTTCATGATACATTTTTAGGGTTATCAAAAGTAGCTGGCCGCCAACAGTAGTTACTGCATATTTCATGATCTCAGCCAGCTTTTCAGATGGGCTATTTACCTGATTCTTAGAAAAAGATGAAAAAAACTGCTTAAAAAATAAAAGGAGGTAATGGGATTTATAGTATCACAGTATTGCTATATTCCCCAAACTGTGGGATGCAGCTTTTTTAATGTGCACTGTATTTGCTATTTATCGCTCTTTGGGGTATGTATGAAATTTGCAAATAAATTATTTGTTATTTTGCTTAAATGCCAAACTATGCAATTATACTGAGGTGTTGATAATTCTTGGCATGCCGAAGAATATTAGGGCCTTTTGAAGTTACAGTTTGTTATGGATTTTCATCATAGGGGTATTTGAAGAATGTGTTTACAGGCACCCCTAATGTCCTCCCCTTTCCCTTTGAGCAGATTTCAAGATTAGAAGATGGTATCTGCAAAATTCAAAACGTCACTGTAGCTTGAAAGAAACTAACCCTTAGATTCCATTTAAAAACTTGTCCAAAAAAGTAAACAAAAGTTTTCAAGTGTTCCACTGCTATTCATAGCCTGCTTTTGGAGTCAAGTTACTTGTGGGGCAAATATTGTAAAAGTAAACAGTTTGTAATCTAAAATATGTTTTCAAAACACAGCCATAAATGTTCTATAATACTGTCACTAACAATTACTAAATTGTTTGAGGAGGTAGTTTCTTTGAAAAACATTTCAGAATAAAAACTAGCAGTAAAAAACGACGTTTCGATCTCTCTGAGATCATTTTCAAGTTGAAGAAAAAACGAATAAAATATACATATACAACTGTATAAGAACAAATTAGGGTGTGAGAATATCAAATGATAAAATATGTAAATACAAGCGCTAAAATGTAAGTGTTAAAATAATAAAATACTATTAAAAAAAACAGTCAGATTCAATCTGTGCAAAGTTATTTATATAGGTTTTTTTTTATAGTATTTTATTATTTTAACACTTACATTTTAGCGCTTGTATTTACATATTTTATCGTTTGACATTCTCACGCCCTAATTTGTACTTATATATGTATGTTTCATTCGTTTTTTTCTTCAACTTGAAAATGATCTCAGAGAGATCGAAACGTTGTTTTTTACCGCTAGGTTTTATTCTGAAATGTTTGAGGAGGTGCCAGGCTTTTGCTTAAGCAGTTTTTGAAATTTTGTAATTTCAGGAAAGTTCAGGAAGATCAGATGACACCATTGCTTTGGAGGCTCTTGCTAATCACACACGCTGCAATGACAGCTTTGTTCTGGATTTATTCCAAGCTCAGTATCGATCATCACTCAAATGTCCCAGGTGCCATCAACAGTCTACAACATTTGATCCATTTCTGTGTCTCTCACTGCCCATCCCACAACGGGAAACCCGCCCCATCATAGTCACCACAGTGTTTGTAAATTCATCCAGAGTTCCACTTCGTATTGGTGTCAGCGTACCCTTGCATGGAACAATTGCTGACCTGCGGAATGTGGTTTCTGATATGACAGGCATCAAACAAGAATCTTTGATCCTCACAGAACTTTACTATGATGGATTTCACAGAACATTTCATGATAAGCAATCTTTGAGCATTGTTCATGAAGGGGACAATATTTATGCATTTGAAGCTCCAAGTGGGCTTTTCCCTGAGATGGATGCAGATGTCCAGACACCTGTCATGGCAGATAACAGTGGACCAATTCAAGACACCATTCTTATCCTTGTGGCAAACTGTCAGGGCCCAGCAAAAACTTCATCAAGTAAAAGGTAACATATAAAAATAATTATAGGGCTTCCACATAGGGTAACTTGCTGCTGAGGTGGAGTTGCCATGCATCTTGAAAGTTCTTGAAATTTAAGATCATAAGATATTCAAGGCCTTGAAAGTTTTGAAAAGGTGTTTTAAAATCCCTGTAATTATTATTTTGTTGTTTTCAAAAATAAAAGATAAATAATAATTACATGTACATGTAAAAATGTGGTATTTTCATGACAAATGTTTTGTTAAATTAGATGGATGTCCTTGAATGCAGAATTTGTCCTGTTTGCAACTGGACACACTGAACTTTATGTTCACCGTTAAAGAATTCTGTTTTACTGCTTCAGATTTGGTCTTCCCTTCATAGTGAGAGTTCTCAGGGAACTGAGCTATGAAAGACTGCATGCAGCAATCTTGAAAGCCATGGCAAGGATTCTGTTGGATAATGTTTCATCGCAGGTAAGGAAACGAGCTGGAGGAATAACAGGGTTTTCAATAAGTTTTGAAATAGCCATCTGAGGTAACTAAAGTAGGCAGCAAACTGATGAATTTTTTTAACAATTTGAGTGAAAATACAGACAAAGTAAGCAGCGGTAAGACATAAATTCTGACAAAGTAGGCGGCGAGTTTCGCCGGTTGCCGGCTTCTAATGAAACCCCTGGAATAAGAAATTAAGTTTAACTGTTGATGGTTTGTTCTTGTAGCATGCCCATTAATAAAATGCTTTCATTGAATGTCTGGGCTTTGCAGTGCAAATCAGTAGAGTGTGAACATATTTGAGTTATTCATGTGTTTTGATTATTCTATCAAGAGGGAAAACCACAGGTACAAAACCTTAAAATGGTTAATTGTCAAAGGCATGTGGTTTAATTTACGATCTTGCACCACAAAGTGAAATCTACCTAATGTGTTCTATGAATCACCTTTTGGATTTGCAGAGCAAGTGTTTGACTATTAAGATTTGGTGACAAATGTCTGATTTCGGTGACTCTAACAGTACCATACAAGGCCTGAAGTGTTGTAAGGTCTGTGTTAAGTTGGATACATTGTATCAAATTATAATATTATGATAAGTATTTTCTTGATACCCAGTCAACAAGTCAAGACAAAGCACATGAATGCACAGTGGTTACTCCTTGGGCACCAATCACCTTATCCAACCACTGTTATTTGTCCTTTCCATTTACATAGTCTGTACAAGGAGATTATAGTATTGATGTATTGCTTCAAATTAATTGTTGCTTTAGGTTAAGAAGCAAAGGTTGCTGTTTCGACTGCGTGTAGTCAATGGCTTGCCTGGGAAGAGTGCTCTGTCTCCAGAAGTTGATCATCCTTTGTATCAGGCTACTGTGGACAAGTAAGTGGTTCTGTTTGTGCCGCAATTGAGCAAGAACAAGACCAGTAGACTGGAAACATGTAGAGCGTTTTCACGTGACATCATCAAATTCTCAAATCCAAAACTAATGAGCCACCAAAGTTTTCATTGTAATTAGGCATAAGAGGTGCTATTTTTACATCTGTTTAAAACTTTCCAGCTCAATAGCGTCTTTCATTTGGAAACCAGCGCATTTTGAATTTCAGAGTAATGATGGTGTGTGACATAAAGCTGTGATTGCGTTTGCAGAAAAATATGTATTTATCTCACGATTTTTAGCCATTTAAGACGTTAAAGTATTTGGAAAAGTGCTTAATTAATTGTTTGTTTGTGTGCTCAGTGCAGTCAATCAGTTGCTTAGATAGCCAAAGTAAGTTCCAGATGTTGGTTTCACTGTATTGGTGTCCCACAAAGGAACACCTTAAACCTGGAGAGCTGTCTTCTTTATTTATCTTCTATAATATCACAATTTCTTGACTTTATCCACTGAATGGTTTTCAATTATGTTTTTTATTGCGTGACAGTGAAAATGCTCTATAGCATAGAGCTCTATATGTAATCAGCTGTTTAAAGCCCAAGGGTTTCATTACCATTTTTAGCAGGAGGACAACTGGTTTTCACCATCGGCCAAAACTTTTGGTTTAAACCTCTTGATAAGATTAGCTTTCCTCTTGATGGTCAAACCATGCAGGCAAAATCATCCTCTCTCCCAGTCAATTTGCCCTTATTGAAACCCCTGAAAGCTATTAAATGGCTTATGTGGCCAGAGCCAGTTACTGTAGTTATGTAGCAAGTGACTATAAGGTACCCTGACGATTCAATTTAGTACCCTCCTCCTCTTAAATGCCCTTTTTAATAAGCTCTCCCCATTGAGTGCCATTGCATTAATAAATGCCCCCCTCCTTCCAATAGGCACCCCGATAGCTAAAGTAACATGGGGAATTGACATAGAACAGACTGATCAGGTCAATTCTGAGGTCTGCCATCTCAGCTGAACGTAATGTTCACTGAACATGATGACCATCAGAGCCCCCATTGTTACAGATCATGAATTCAATTATTAGTTTTGTTTTGTTTTGTTTTGTTGTATTTTTTTCCCTGCTCATTTAAGTGTTGTATCACATTTTGGGTGTATATGCTAAAAACAAAATAAGTGCCCCTGAATAAGTACCCTCCCTTGAACTACCAGATGTAAATTATTGTCCCAGGAACTAAATCAAATGTAAATTAAACACTACTGTAGCTAAGGTGGCGTAAGCAAGCTGGTGAAATGTGATGTACTGTAAAATTTTTCATCATGAGGTTCTCATATTCTATTGCGTAACCATGTTAGGTACTGATCAGTGATACATGTACATGTACTGTATGTTATGTGAATATGATATGCATTGTTGTGCTATAGGGCACTCATGTCCTGTGGATCAGGCAGTGGACCTCAACATATCAAGATGATTGCTGAATGGGATCCAGAGACAAGAGTGAGGTAAATCTGGAATTAAATGTATTATTTTACTTTACCATGTTATGGTAACAAAATTTATATATCAACTAATGGTGCAAAGGGCCTGTGATGTAGTACAGGCTGTCTGCATGCATTGCATGCCTATATAACACAGTACATGCGGTTGAAGCTGTTGTAAGCGTCCACCTCAGAAATTCGAAAAAGTGGTCGTAACTAGAGTTGGTCGCTAAGTTAGAAGAATGAGCTCTCCTAAGCGACCGCATGGTAAATCAATAGAGGGTGGCCGCTGATGGGAGCTTCAGAAACTCATTAATAATTCATAAAGAAAAAGCAAAAGAAATCAATGTTTGATGAGTGTCTTTATATCTGATCTAGATATGGCTAAACTTTATGTTCAATTTTTTAGACCAAAATAACTATTAGCACAGTGTGCAGTTTCATTAAAGTGTAGATTTATACGTAAAAGACTCTGAGTGGTCACTTACAAGAGCTTTAAAACACGAAGGAAAAGTCCAGTTGGGTAATCCCAAAAATAGTTGCAGTCGCTTACGAGAGCTTTTCACTACAATGTTTAAGTCACAGTTTAAATGGGGTTTCACAAAGGTGGTCTTAACTAGAGCTGGTCGCTTACAAAAGTGGTCGCAAGGAGAGCTTCAATTGTATTGCTTTTATATCATTTTGCATTTTTCATGGCCATGTATTGTGACTTTGAAAAAAGAAAACTAAATAAATTTTTCTTAGAACTTACAGGTCCATTTAAAACCTTAATTGTTTGCAACAAAACAGGTGCTAGTCATATTTTTACCATTAAGCGGGTTCATGGGCCTCCGATTGGTAGCAATGCAACATTCCAGCATTAATCAAATTTCTAGAACTCATAGTTTAGTGGTAGTCTCTTTGACAGTTTGGAGAAGAATTGCATGTAACATTTCAACCCTTATTTTTAAAGACTGCTGAATTTGACAGTAATTTTAATATTCTCTTATTTGCACTCACTGTTTAGCTTTGTGAAGTCCAGTGTTTTGCAAGAAAGACCAGAGGAACACTGTAGTGTCCGTGAAGTGGAGTCACTGCATAACAGCTCACATAATGTTGAACTGGAAGATTGCTTTACGCTTTACACCAAAGAGGAGAAGGTATCAAACATATCAAACCTGCAATTTTAGGTGTAAAAAAAATTAACAAAATAGTGATGCAGAAGAAGAGCTCCATCAGAGCTCAAGAATACAGCAGTTTTCAGAGTGATTTGTAATATTATGCTAGTCTGAGAGTTGTGTCAATAAATCCTGTTGGACAAAATGTATTAATAGTTATCCCTCTTGCAAAATGCAGACTTTTACTTTAAAAGATGAAACACTTTTGATTTCATATGCTGACGTAACTTCGGTTTTAGAATCTTCAGATTCCCTTTGGTTTCTTTGCTAGTTGTATGCATTCAAAACCCTGCTAGAACTTTCCAGAAGTTTTACTGTACCAGTTTAAACAGGTTCTTGTAGATTGCATAGCAAGTCCCTTATCAGCTTTGTAATTGTGTCAGATTAAAAAATTTGTCTTGAATGTTTACTAGTGGTAGCTTGTTGTTTGTGGTTTCTTGTAGATTGCAAGGTGGTTTTAATGTGTTTTTCAACAAATCTATCAGGAAATTATATGACAAATGTCTGTCTTATGACAGTAAATTGACGATCAGAATATGGCTTATTTCTTCATTCAAATAGTCCTGAACCACTTTCTAGATAGTCCTACATATGTAACCATTATCCTACTCTGATAAAAATAGCGGCATTGTGCATGTATAGCGTGATGATGGTTTTCAGTTATTCTGGCTATACAGCACAGGCAAATGCTCATTTCAATCAGGATGAATTTTGTATTACCGAGTCTGAGGAGTTCACTGGAGGAAATACCACTTAGCTTAGACACAGCTAACCAAGCTTATGATATTTTTTTCTAGCTGGGCACTGAAGATGCTTGGCTTTGTCCTCGGTGCAAGAAACTACAACAAGGAACAGTGAAGAGGCTGAGTCTGTGGACTCTGCCAGAGGTGTTGGTGGTTCACCTGAAGAGGTTCAGGCAGGTCAGTTGTTACATGGCACTTCATTCATCACTTTACTTGGTAGAGTACCTGGGCAGAAAGTGCCAGCCAGGGTTAAACACTAAACAATCATTTCTGAAATTTGTCTCCTGCGTGGAAGACGTGATGACGTAGTGTTTAGTGCATTAGACTCTGGATTGAGTCGTCTGGGTTCACTGAGGCCCTGACTTGGACTGGTATCTCCCATTTAGGGCGGGGAGGCGGGGAAGAGGGGATGTAACAATCAGTCGCTTCATGCTATTGAAATAGTAATGAAGCTCTGTCTTGACAAGTCACCTGGGGTGAAGGCAGTCTGTTCTCCAATGTTAACAGGAGTTACGTAGGTCTTAGTTAATCTCGAGAACAAGTTTAATTTCTTTGCACCCTTAAGGGATCTTCAATGTTTATTGTTCAATCCAAATTAGCGCAAACATGAAAACTTCTCATCAGCTCTCAATCGAAACATATCACTAGGCAGCTTTACCTCAGAGCAAACAACAAATCGATTCTCTCAATGAAACATCGTTGAATTTCGAGTACTACAAAGCAAAATGAGTGATCAATAAAACGCAGCATTTCATGTTTTCCCCAGACCTCTGCCGGCCGCACCAAACTCCACACTCTGGTGGACTTTCCACTGACGGGCTTAGACATGAATGCACACTTAGAACCCCGCAACAAAAGGTCCTCTCCAGACTCCCACTCCTTAGGATGGGGTACGTGGCGGCGTCACCGCGCAAATTCCGTCAGTGGGTGTGAGGAAAACCTATATGACCTGTACGCTGTGTGTAACCACACTGGAGGAATGACAGGCGGGCACTACACGGCGTACTGCAAGAATCCTGTTGACGCCACGTGGTACCTGTTTGACGACATGCGCGTGGAGAGGATAAGTGAGCGTCAGATTGTCACCAAGGCAGCGTATCTTTTGTTTTACGCCCGGCGTAACGTCGGGTCGTCTTCGGCGTCCGAGTCTTCTTCGGGTTCCGACCACTGGGCTTGGAGAATGCCGCAATTTTCGTACGAATCTGTGCTCAGTTCTCGCGATGAACTCACAAAAAAAGAGGAGAGTGCGACAGGTAAGACTTCAATTTTTTTTTCTTTGTTGTTATTGTTTGTTCTCGTATACAAGTGAAAAAATATATGATCTTTCATATGTTCACTTGTAATCTTCACCATCTACGGGTATATTACGAACTCACAACGTGGCCATCTCCCAGATGGCTTGATAGCTCAGTTGGTAGAGCACTGCATCGGTATCACAGAGGTCATGGGTTCGAATCCCGTTCAGGCCTGAATTCTTTCAGGCTTAAATTTCACAACTGCTTAAGTGTGCATGTCTTCATGTCTCTTCTCGTGTTCAACAAAGTATCTGCGTTCTGACATTTTCAATTTAAAAGAGCTCAGTCACGGTATTTTGAGTTGTTTTGGCCACGTGCAAAATTACCTTTAAGAGATGGAAAAACACCAAAGAGAAAATAATTAACCATAAAGGAACAAGGAGAAGACTGCCACGGATTACAAACGGCGAACTTTAGGTTAAACTTTTCAAGATGCACAAACCGTGACGTAGCTCGTTTAAGTTGCAATAACTTTTCTACCTGTAGTTGTTGTCAAATTTTAACTGATTGAAAAATTCCCCATTTCGTGACCTCTTGTATGTAGAGTGATCTCTTTTCAGTTGTTGTTGTATGTTGTATTTCTGCGCACTTCTCATGGCTAGCTTACAGCGTAAGAGTCTAATTACCGATCTTAGCCAGCTAACTCTCTTCCATTGTCATTTAGGAAATGACGATTGTTGATTTGTTCTAATGGAACAGCTTCGAACAACTGTAAGACCGTTTAGACGTTGTAAATAAGGGGCCATGTCGCAACATGCTAAAATCGTTTTCTGCAATGCGAAAAAAACCCTTTGAATAAGGAAATAATCGTGTAAAAAGAACAAATACAAAATGACAAAGATGGTTGTAATTTGAATAGATTTAAACGGATTACAGAAGAACCATTTGTAAAATTGAGGGTATATCTATTCATGACATGGCCCCTTTATCGTTGAAGAATCTAACTAATCTTAGTGCTGACGCTGATCCGCATCGAATTTCTCCTCAAAGTCACACTCTCAGGTCTTGAGAATGTGGTAAATGATCATAATCAGGGGTTTTAAGGACTTAATAAGGATTTTTCTGTTACTTTGCAGGTAGACCTACAAGTCAGTCTTACAGTTCCCTGCCGCAAATCCACGCACACAATACAGCCAATAAATGGAGCAGTCGAGAAAACGTGATGACTGAATCGTGCGTGTAACTGGAACTGCTGGGGGACTGGGAACACTTGGTATCGTTTGGGATAGACAACAAAATGGCGTGTATTCGACATGAGCTTAGTCTTCTCCGAAGCCGTTTTCGGGATGTCACGCATCGTTCGAGCGTTGCGTGACTTCCGAAAAAACGGCTTTGGAGGAGACTAACATAAGCTCAAATATTGTTTCAAAGCAGAATTCGGAGGCCAGTGTATTGTCGTTTTTCAGGTACTATTAACTTAGGAACAAACCTGACGTGTGCTGTATTCTTGTTTTTAGACAATTACGAGCTTAGAATTCAACTCAAAATCTTGAGTCGTAATCAGTTTACAGTGATGAAAAGTCTTATCACTTGGGTGTTACCGCCATTTTGGAATGCGTCTATCCAAACACCGCCTTTAAAAAGCCCAGCCGAGATACTCGTAAAATGTACGTTGCAACAAGGTCTTTTTTGATCCTTGCATGGTTAAAGCCCGTAGAATTTCTGTCAGTTTAACCCAATTAATACGCAAACCTTCTGAAGCCTCAACGCGAGGATTAGATACCACGGTTTCCTTTGGGCAGAAAAAACAGAGTGCGTAATAAGTGATCAAGCCATAAGGCTATTTAGAGTAAGAGGTTGGAGGAAAGGTGGGAATTGGCGGTCGGGAGAAGACAATCAGTATGAGTAATCAAACGGTGACGAGTGAAATTAGGAAATAATTTCAAGCGCGTTTTGTCCAAATTCTAAAAGAATTACCGAGCGAAGGAAATTGTTGGAATTTTGACAAAACGCGAATGAAATTCTTTATTTTACGAGTATACCATTTGATTACCTTTTAATATCATGGGTGGCAAATTACGCATACAATCGTGGGTTTTTTTACTTCTCTATTGTATCGAGAAAATTCGGGCCAAACATTGCCACGGCAATTTTGCAATTTCACACGTGAAATTAGAAGTTAATGCTGAAATTTCACGGCAAAAATAAGGAGTAATTTGTCACCCATTATATTACTTTCGTTAACAGGCGAGTAGGTTATCATTTCACTTGCTTCACAGGTCTAACGGAAAATACTTGTCACGTTGTGTCTCTCCTCCCCATTTCCCTCCTTTCTCCTCCCTATTTTCCTAGGAATACCGCAGTTTCTTGAAGCATCTTTCGTGCCTGTGCGCAAACTTGTATACGCAGGCTTCGATTTTGTACCAAAACGCTTTGTGTCTAGCAAGAGATACTCGTTCAGTCTGAAATATTTAATTCTCAAGAAAAATCTTAAAGGAACTACGTCACGGTTTGCGCCTTTTGAAAAACTTGGCCTAAATTTTTCAAGTTCATCGTTTGTAATCTTTGTCAATCTTCTCCATCCTTAACCATCCTTGTTCCTTTATGATTTAAGCGGTAGAGCACTTTTTCCGTGTTAACATAGCCTTTATCTAAACACGAAGAGGGTGTGGAGAATTCGAGACAGTTATACAAACGTTTGCTTAACTTTCGAGATTCTATAAGACCCCCGAGTGTTTAGATGAGGCTATGTAAACACGGAAAAAGTACTCTACTACTTTTATAAACTAATTCTCAAGAATACGCGCGAATCTGAAACGGCACAACCCTGTTTACATACTCTCATCTAAGCACACCTATCGACCAATGAGAGCGCGCATAATAGCTCAGTTATTGTATAATTGTTGTTATCTCCTTGGTGTTTTTCTATCTTAGTGAGCTACTATTTTCAGGTAATTTTGTGCGTGGCCAAAATAACTCAAAATACCGTGACTGAGCTCTTTTAATTTTAGTGAAACCTTTTCTCTTTTTGAAGGTTAAGGATTAAATTAGAGGAAAGTACCTGGAACCTTGAAATGTCCGCAGGATGAATTTTGTTAAGTGCTTAGACAGAGTCGCGCATTAAAATGAATTAAACCGAATATTACGAGCTTTCGAATGGCAAAGTTATCAAGAGAAGTAACCCTGTAAATAGTAAGTAGATTCGCAATGTGGAGAATATTATTTGTTGAGGCTCAAAGCTCCAATAAAATGCCGCTATCTTTGTTAAGGCATTAGAAAACCCGAAACGGGTAACCTATTTTCTACAATTTTTGACGCAAAAATTAAAGCAAACAACAACAAAAAACACCACCCTGCATTGTAAATAGTGCATGAAGCAAAGCACATTCAGAAGTTTGTAGCCCCTTCTGGTTGGCCAAATGAGATTTTGACTTGTAATAAAGTTATTTATATAAGAGTTGTACTGTAAGTGTGTGGGTTTTTTTTTCTTAAATCTCCGAAAGGCAAATGACCTATAGCAAGTAACGCATAGTTCCTCATCGACTTCTCTTCACCCACCGCTTGCTAGTTCCAGTTGAAGCCTTCCTGAAGTTAGCAACCGAACTCCATTTCTTCCTCTGGACTGCAAGCTGTATATCCCAAGCGAATCTGACTTAATGGTGAAGAAACGGTTCTTTCCATTGTGTTAGCCTGCTTTGCAGACGCATATTTGGCGGGCGAGTGCACATTTTCGTATTAGGCCGCCGTCTTGGATTTGGTAACTGTGGAGGGTTGGGGCAAGGGGAAATTTGTCCAGGGAGTAGGCGGCATCGAAAGCCTGGTCTATCGAGCGTTCCGTTCCAAAAAAGAAAATCGCCTGCACTACAGGCTACACTGTGTCAGAGATTACCTCTTAAAAAGCTGAATTTGTTCACTTCTTTCTCAGGCGTTACTTTTTTTTGTTTTGTTTTGATCTTTTGCCTCCAGAACACTACATGGTGTTTAAAGAAATACAGCCAATTAGAACACAAAAAGCCATTGTATACTTCACGGAATTACGCCCAACCTTCCCATCGTGCGCAGCGATCTTTTTGGTTTGATACTGTATTTAATATGGCATGGTGTAAAATAGTTTTACAACGCTTTCTCGTGATATACCATGGAATATCCCACGTCACTTGTATTTTCTTGGTATACACGCGAGAATTTTATACCATGCGACCCGTGAGATATTCCGTTGCATAACTAATATATATTTGTATATATTTGTGTTATTCTCTTGATATATTTTAGCAAAAAGTGTGAGAATATTACAATGGCTAGCCTCACATACGTATGTTTCGTCCCTGCCAAGGGAATTTCAGAGGCCTTTCAGCTAACTCGTCAAACATCGCGTTTGAAGTCCCGCTGGCATTGTTAGAAACCTGCGGGCAGGCTGAAGGGTTCATACGTACTTCCTATTGCAGGGCATATAACCTGACAGGTTTTGTGTAGCTTACACGAAGTGTAATCCACACTTTGTCTTCATCCGAGATATTTCTTTATTTATTTGTCTACGGGAGCTAAGCGCTTGTCACGTGTTCTACTCAGACTAGGTTACGGTTAGTGGTCGGGTAAAGTCGGCCATATTGGTTGTGGCGTAGAAAGTTTCACTTTTTTCTCCTGCTTTTAGTTTTCAAGGTCGGTCGTGATAATTTAGTTTTATCCTAATTACAACGAAAACTTGTAACCCACACATGCACGCACTGCGGACCTGTTTTTAAGAAGTACTTTCCTAAAACCTGCTTTTTATTTTGCCACAAGAGTACTTTTTGTTGTGTTCGAACGTGCCCTCTGGATTCGGTAATTGCTTGCGTATTACCAATCTCGTACCCAGGGTAGTCGTTTGCAAGTAGTAATGAAACTGCCCAGGACGGGGAGGGGGGTGGCGGGGGGAGGAACTCCCATATAAAAGCCACGCCCACAAAACAGGATGTTCATGTTCTTTCCAAAATTTACGACGAGCACTCCCGGTTGAAACTGATGCTAATGTTTGACTCGAAACTGTGAAAGGCTTACAGTGATATTTAACGCAGAAAATAGTGACTTCACAAATTTCCCAACCCATAAACAGCCTTGCATCTCTCCATACCAGCTTGGCGTATACACTTTCTTACGAATATTTCATCAGACGTACAAAATGTCCTCTCGAAAACAGCAAAATAATGTCCGTATAAAATTCTTATTTCTCTGATTGAACTCAAATGTTAGCGTTTTTAAAAACATTTGCGGTGAACAACTGAGGGTCCTTCTTCGTCGTATTCTTGTTTGGAAATCAACATCTGTAGGAAGGTGGACAGCGAGGCTAAGATAGATCCTCCGATCCATACAGAGTATTTACGCTCAGGAGGAGCAATGATCTTGATCGTCATTGTGGGTGGAGCCAGGCCAGTGATTTCTTTCTGCATTCTGTCAGCGATTCCTGGGAACATACTGGAGCCCCCAGACGATACTATGTTGGCGTATAAGTCCTTACGGATGTCCTCGTCGCACTTCATGATGGAATTGTAGGTGGACTCGTGGATGCCTGCAGCTTCGATTCCAAGGAAAGAGGGCTGAAACAGGGCCTCAGGATCCCTGAAGCGCTCGTTGTTAATAGTAACGACGGCACCGTCGGGAAGTTCGTAGATCTTTTCTACGGTGGAGCTTGAGCCAGCAGTCGTCATTTCTTTCTCGAAGTCGAGAGCAACATAGCAAAGTTTTTCTTTGATGTCACGCACGATCTCACGCTCGGCTGTGGTGGTGAAGGAGTAGCCACGCTCGGTCAGAATCTTCATGAGGTAGTCTGTCAAGTCCCTGCCGGCCAAGTCAAGACGAAGGATGGCATGGGGAAGAGCGTAACCTTCGTAGATGGGAACAGTGTGACTGACACCATCACCGCTGTCAAAGACAATACCAGTTGTACGACCAGAGGCGTAAAGAGACAACACAGCCTGGATTGCCACGTACATGGCTGGCGAGTTGAAAGTCTCAAACATAATCTGTTGAGAAGAGAAATTTCAAACTCGTTTTAAAATACAATAATATTG